TGAATGCGAGGTTCATAAAAGCAGCGGTTGGGCAAGCTTAAAGGAAAAGCTGCCACCTTAACTGTTCCTTTCATATATACACACAGTTCAAAGTGAGCAACAGCGAGAGGAGAAGGAATCATTAAAAACAGAATGTTTATGTTAGCTGCACTTATTGATTACAAATTGAAATTAACCAACATTACATGTTTCTTTGCAATTGCAAACCATGCTGAAGATAGCACACATGAGGTTCTAAGCATTGAACTCAATATCTCATCACCCAAGTGAACACACTCAATCAATTACCAGTTTTCAACCGGCAGATAAGCAGAAGTAACCAATTTATTTTAGAGGGGGGAGAGGGACTTAGAAGAGAGGAGTTGGAAAGAGAACAACAACAACCACTTGGATTTATATAGCATCCTCCACGCCGGACAGCGTCTCAGAGCGCTTCACAGTAACGGATCCCGGGACCGAGCCAGGGGGAGGGGGAGGAAGGTGACCAAAGGCGCGGTTGAAAGAAAAGGTCTTCAGCAGAGACCTTTAAATAGCAAGGGAGGGAGCGAGGCGAAGGGAGTGAGGAAGGGAGTTCCAGAGCCTTGGGGCATAGTGGCTGAAGGCACGGCCGCCGAGGGTGGAGCGGAGGATTCGGGGGACAAGGAGGAGGCCAGACTCGGAGGAATGAAGGCAACGGGTACTGTTTTGAGGAGAGTAGGTCAGAGAGGTAGGGGGGTGCAGAGGAGTGGAGGGATTTGAATACAAGGCTGAGGATCTTGAAGTCGATCCTCTCTGGGATAGGCAGCCAGTGCAGTCTGGCAAGGACTGGGGTGATCAGGGAGCGGAGTTTAGTGCGGGTGAGAATGCGGGCAGCAGAGTTTTGAATGATCTAGATTTTATGGATGGTAGTGGATGGGAGACCGGTGAGGAGGGCGTTAGAATAGTCCAGCCAACAGGTGACAAAGGCATGGACCAGGGTTTCAGCGGCGTTTGGGAGAGGTATTGGCGGAGACGGGCGTCGGAGGTGGAAGAAAGCGGTGCTGGTGAGGGACCGGATGTGGTTGGGTAGGTGGAGGAGGTGAGAGCCGTGAGATTTTAGACGTTGACGAGAGCCAAACATTATGGCTTCCGTCTTGTCAACGTTCAGCTGAAGGAAATTTGCACTCACCAGCCCCTGAGATCTGACAGGCAGGCTGACAGAACATCAGGGGACTGGGGGTCGCAAAGAAAGGTGGGAAAATAGAGTTGGGTGTCATCCGCGTACATGTGGAAATGTACCCCATGTCTGCGGATGACATCCCCAAGAAGAAGCATGTAGATTAGAAAGAGGAGGGGCCAAGGACGGATCCTTGGGGTACCCCATAGGTGACCGGGTGAGAGCGGCAGGAGAAGCCATTTGTGCAGATGTACTGCTGGCGGTTTATGAGGTAGGACTCGAACCAGGTGAGTGCGGTCCCACTGAGGTGGATGACAGAGGAAAGGCAGTGGAGGAGGATGGCGTGATCGACTGTGTCGAACGCGGTGGAGAGGTCCAGGAGGACAAGGAGGCAGAGGGAGCCCTGGACACAGATAGAGAGGATGTCGTTTGTGGCTTTCACAAGCGCAGTCTCTGTACTGTGGGCAGGGCGGAAACCGGACTGGAGGGGCTCGAAGAGGGAGTGGGAAAGAGGGAAGGGAGGACACTTCAGAGATTTAAGATTCCACCTACCTTTAGCCTAAAAGGCCATTTTATCTTAAAATTCAAGATCATACAGAAGTGTGGAAACTCTTAAATTCACGTTCAATTTGGAAGTCAATTCTGCAACAAAAGAATCTTCCACAATTATGACTGGATTTAAGAATTTTCCACAATTCTGTACAATTTTGCTCTTACCCAATGGACACTAGGCTCTGACAGTTGAAGCATATTACAGAACACAGCCTGCTTACATGCATTTTAAACTGGAAGATGAGTCGCTTTAAAAAAGAACAATGAAAGAGGTCTTGTTCACAATGACACCATACATCTACGATAGAAAAGAAAACTACATTTTCTCAGATATTGTGAATAATGTGTAATAATATCGTGCCTAGTAATAGCACAATACATTTCCAGAGGCTACAGCACAATTTGATTTATCAGCTAAACATATAACCATGTAACATCTAATCAAAGCTGTCTTGCAATTCCCTGGCAGCTGAACATCATCCGATTCATAGGAAGCCTCGGTACATTTGAACCTTTAGCGATTTTACTAACAGTACTAACATGAGTGCCCCTCCTTCCCCCAACTATTTATTCAATACGGCACAAAATAAATATCAGCAACTCGAGGTTTTAAATATTTTATGCAGATTTTAAATGTAAATGATGGCAATTGCAGATTTTATAGCGTGGAGAAGAAATAGCATTGAACTGTGTCGTCAATAAAGTGAAATCGCCCAGCAATACATGATAGGCTGGGTATGCTGAGCAGACTGATGGGGTGAGTGGTTGCTATGGTGAGTCAGTGATGAAATTTCCTCCACTGCTATGCTAAGTGCTAAATGCAGCTGCAATGGAGTCCCATTCAGATCAGTTGCATTGCACCAAAACCTGCTTTGATGTCGAAACTTCTGAAATGACACTGCTCGTTCTCTTTTTTTTAACAGGATTACAAGTTATTAGTGAACATAAACTCTTCTGCTGTGAGGTATGAGCTCAATACACAAGATAATAATAATAATCCTTGCATTTGATATAGCGCCTTATCACATCGTTGAAACGTCTCAAAACGCTTCACAGAATATACTGTAAAGTGGAGTGACAGTGTATTTAAGAACGAAACGCAGCAGCCAATTGCCCACAGCATTGGCCCACAAATAGTTGTGGATTGAGTGACAAAATAATATATGAAAGTGACTTTAAATGTATTTAATAATACAGCGACTTTAAATGTCTCTAATAATTATGTATTCGAGTCAGGCCAAGAAGTTGGCATAGCTTCAGCTTGGCCTAATAAATGTTTGACCTGCTCTCATTATCAAAATTATAATGCAGGTTTGGGTAAGATAAATAGTGGGATACTATTACCACTGATCAGTAAATAAGAGGCATAAATTTAAGATTTTATCACAAATACAAGAACTTTTTTTCACACAAAGGATTATCAGGACTTGGAATGTTCTAACAAAAATAGAGGTTGAAGCAGGATCTATAATAGCTTTCAAAAGACAAATGGACAAATATTTGAAAAGAAAAATATAAAAGAAATTTTTTGGGGGGAGGGGAGAAAGGCACGGGATTGAATTTAACTGGCTAGTTCTTTCAGAAAACCAGCACAGCCACAATGGGCCAAATGACCTCCTTCTATGTTGTAAAATTTGCTGATGCTAGACTTTGCAGCACAATGATTACATTTCCTGCAAGTTATATTTCTTTACTTCATTTTATATCATTTAAAGAGAATCATTGAGATTACGTTTTTCTGATTTAGGATGAAATTCATTTCCCCTGTAAAGATTTTGCAAAACACTCACTGGAGTGGAGATTAAACATTGTAACATTTATGTTTATAAAGCATTATTTTTCTGTAGTTCCAGTGTGAATTAAGCTTCTGCATTAAGTTAACTCTGATCTGTACTACAATTTCAATCCCTTTTTGGTTGCCAAAAATTGTAGCTTGGAGATTCTTTTTCCTCCCATTTTTCAGACTAGATGTTAAATCTTGTAATCCCTCAAGAAAAAAATAATTGCTGTGCGCAATTGGCTGCTGCATTTCGCCCGCAAATATACAGTCTACTCACTTTGCAGTATATTCTTTGAAGCACTTTGATACATCTAGAAGATGTGAAAAAGCGCTATATTAAATGCAAGAATTATTATTATTAAACTGAGATTCCATCTGCCTCCTCTTTACATAGATTCTACAGAAACCATGATACTTCTCAAAAAAGGGAGTTTCCCCAAATCTCCTTGCCAACAACAACAACTTGCACTTATATAGCACCCTTCATGCAGGGTAGCGTCTCAGAGCACTTACTCTCATCCAGAATAATTGGTTCTGGACAATTGTCCAGAATAATTGGTTGTTGGCTGATTGTGAAGCCTTGCTGAGTGCAAAATAGTGGATGATTTTGTCTACAAAAAACAGTCACTGCACTTGACAGTAATTACTTGTGAAGCATTTTGAGATGTTGATAAGGTGCTATAAGAACGCAACCTCTTCAACACCTTGTTTTTAAAAGCAATGTTAGTACTAATTCGATGCAGTAATGTGTAGGAGACAGGGGGAAGAATGTTGGAGGAAGTATTGTATAGTACCAGATAGCTATGGCAAGTCTGGTTCAGACCAATGCATCTCTCTTTCAGCTAAACTCTGCCACTGCCGATTAGTGACTTTTTCATTTAAAGACGTGTCTGCCTTGAGTTTGCCCTGGATACAAATGTCATCTTCGTCTCCACTGCCAGCAGACCTTTGCAGATAGAAGAGATAACAACACAGAAGCAGAAATGACACATTGGAAATGGCAGGTATAGCAGGACTGGATGCAAATGCTCCTGACAGGCAAAAGTAACCATCCTCTCATTTGCTTTCCGTGTGAGTTCTTGTTGGTCCACAAGACAAAGTCAAATAGGAGTTTTTGGTAGCAAATGACTTTCAAATAATTATTTCTTTCAAGTTCTGTGCGAACTTAAAAAGCTGATTGCTAAATAGTGTAATCTTTTACTCTATGACCAAGATTTTCCAAAGATTTCCATTTTTAGCGAAAGGTAAAGATTAGATCCCAAAGATTAACTTGTTGTCGGTTGGCCACAAGGCAGCACAGACAGGAGTGGGATGAGAATAAACACCAGGCAGTATGAGACAAAACAAGCTCAATCTATATTTTAGTACAGCTATTTTGTTAGTGACATAGCCATGTGACCAGTAACTGAACAAAGAAACCTCAATCATAGTTGCCACTGTAACAGTAATAAACAGTGCTGAATGTCTCATGATCTATTTGGGTCAGACACCAGGAAGTATTTCTTTACACAGATTAGTAATTTTATCACTTACTTGTAAAGGTAATACTCTGCCTGGTCCACCTCTTCCCTTGAAGAAATGTTGTCAACAAACTGGAGAGGTAAAGCAAAGGGAGAATTCAGGTTTAACGTAGATAATAATAATAATCCTTGCATTTGATATAGAGCCTTAGCATGTCACTGAGACATTTCAAACGCTTCAAAGGATTTTACTATAAAGTGTGATGACTTCATTCTGATATTCCGTTGCCAAGCACATCAACTTGGAACCAGCTCAGCCTCAAGGAAGATAGCAACTAAATTGCATCCCTATGAGGGATCACGTTTATCTGCAATGGGAAGATCCAAAGGGAAATAAAAGGACCATATTCTGCACGGAAGGATCATATATTACTTTTAAGTACAGGCCTGCAGCCTTGTGAAGGGTGACCAATCAACAATCCTAAATCAAACAACTCATTTGCCATTGTGTCACCAATCGCTGCAGATAACTGATTATTAGGCTGTCTTTTTAAGCAACAGCAGAAACATCACTCCCCTCACACAGGAGACTCAAATGTTACTTCTCTGCAGTTTCTCCCACAAAGCCGCTGTGGTGTTCTGAAAGTGTGCACTGCTTTTTGATCAAACACCTTGACAAGAATTTTGTGCCGTCTAATGGAATGAGTCTGTGGACAGTATTTCAAGACAGAGCTGGGCTTGGAAATTTTCCAGTTTCCCTCTCCACAAAAAATGCAATTCATGGGGTGGGAGTGTGGGGTGTGGGGAGAGACAGGGGGGAAGAGAAATTCTATCTGGGTCTACATTTATTCAATTTTCAGTGAGTACAGAATTTGCTAAATTCAGTCTTCATTTTGAAGCTGTTTTTCTGCATTTTCTGTTCATTTTTTNCAGTGGAGCTGCTCGTTTTTTCTTTGTTAAAATATTTTGTTCAATGTAAATGTCACACTTTAAGAGGTTGAATTCTGCACTAAAAATAAACACTATTATAATATAGATATCACAAGACTGAAGCACTGTCTTTAAACTGGCTTACATTAGGGTTACAGGATCCCAAACAGCATTCCATTAAAAAAAACAATTTAAATATGGAAAGGGTATACAGAGATAGAAATCACAGAGGTCATTTTCCAGAGTAGATTTTATGCAGCTCTCAAGATATACAGATCCTAAGGTCATTAATGATATATGAATCATGTCTTATGTTTGTCTTACCCGTGATATTGTTAAAGAGCTGACAGGAAGTTTCTTCTCATACGTTTGGTCCATTAGTGCAGCTAATTCCGCTAATTTAAAAAAAAAGCAGTCGCGTTTAATTATATGCTCCCGTAAAATAATAAATCAGATGCAGACATTGGTTTAATAAAACACAATAAAGCATGTCCTTTGATGACAAACAGTAGCTACCAACTTCATTAAAATCTCCACTGATATTCTACAAATTGTATATAGCAACAGCCAAATGATACAGAATTTGGTGATGCTTATAACTAACTTACAATACCGGACAGGTACTATCACTGTCTTATTGGAATGATTTTATTATTTTATTGTGTAACCCCCCCCCCCAATGAGAGGCACTAACTCTTGCTGGGTTGGGGTGTGATGGTATGAGTGTTTGTCTCTGTCTGATATATCGCTCCAAGTGGCCATTTCTCACATGTAAATCGAAATACTGAATGTCCACAAGCTCCTGTGGCTTTGGGAGCCGTAGGGTAGAAGGAACCAAACCCAGCCAGATCCCTGTCCTTACCCAACACTTAGCCATACGTACTTCCCAGCAAGGGTCAACAGCAATGAGCATCAAGAACCCAGGCTAAGTGTTCATCTTCCTAGCCTGGGAGAAATGGGAGAAGGAAAGGGAGCTGAGATCAACCATCATACTCCTAGTTACCCTGCCTGAGATCAATTACTTCAGCACAGACCAGAATTTAACCCGGGGATGAGGGGGGGTGGGGGGGGACTGAATTTGCAAATTCATCGATCTTCTATACTTTTTATCCTTTTGCTTCTAGCAAGTTCTGAAAGTTCATTAGTTCCCATTAAACAAGGCAATCAATATTGCTGTAACATAATTTAAAAATCATTCACAAGTGAACTTGTTTGTTCTATTTGTTTGCTGACACTCTAAGAGTGGAATTGCTCAATCAACACTTTCCATATAGAAACAATAGGCCATTGGTCCATCAAATCTGCTTCACCATACTCACTTTATTAGTTCATGACAGCTATTTATCTTTTCAATTCCATTTCCTTGCCATTTCTTCAGTATTCTTAATTGCAAAGTACTGTGCATATTTATTGCCTACCTGCATATATACCTTTGCAGAATATCTGCACACTCTCACAACCCTTTGAGTTAAACTGTTTCTTCTTTGATTTTACTTGTAACCATCAGAACTCTCATTTTAAGATCTGTCCCCCTTTTCCTTGATATGTCTAGCACAGAGAAAAGTTGTGATTTTTTTTGATAAACGCATTTTGATCAAATCACCCTTTAAGCTCTGCAGATCTTTGGGACGTACTCCCGATGTGAAATGTAATTTTGTTGTTGTTGCAGTTGTACAACAACAACTTATATTTATATAACTTCCTTCACGTGGGATAATGTCTTGCAGCGCTTCAAAAATATAACCATGTTTATTCAGCCTGTCATCATAGCTAAACTAAACTCCTTCATCCTTGGTATCATCCTGGTGAACAGTCACTGCTCATTAAAATTAAACCTCCTCCAAGGCAATTATATCTTTCTTAAAACATGACTACCAACAACCCCATCCAATAATCCAAATTAACTCTGATCAAATCTCAGTATAACTGCGGTAGTATTTCCATGATTTTATATTATAGAGGCCTTCAGTCTCTCTGCCCCACCTTCTGGAACTCCATTCCAGTTCCTTCGCCTTGCTCCCTCCCTTGCCTCCTTCAAGATGCATCTCAAGACTCTCCTCTTCAACCACTCCTTCGACCACACTCCTACCCTTAACCTCCATGCCCTTCACCCCTCCTGATCCCCTGCTCGGGTCCAGCGCTTTGGGACGTCCTCCCAACATGAAAGGCACTATACAAATGTAATTTGTTGTTATATACCTTTTGTAATAAAGCACATCATCCCTTTCTGATTGTTTGTATACTTGGTCTCCTTAAATTCCTTTGTTCATCTTTCACTACATAATATTGGAAAGTAAGCCAAACATACTTCACAGTTACAACTGAACGTAACAAGCTGTCCAATTCTGGACACTCAGAAATGTTACAACAATAGAGTAAATCTAGACATAGGTAGAATATCTATTCTTATATCCTACAATCGTTTTTTAACAATTGGAAAAAATACACAAGATAAAAATAAACCTATCGGAGATCTGGCACAAAACCATTTGGTAAATGGCTTCTCATGGCTTGTCATATTTTTAAATCATCCAAACTCTGGGTCTAAAATATAGTGAACGCAAGATAGAACAGTCAATTTAAAACCTATAGATGTTTCAACATAGCATTCAATGATTTGGAATAAAAATTGAGACAAATGCAGCTGGACCTCAAAAGGCTGTGAGTGGACTTGATTTTCATCCCTTTAACAAGGGCTTGTGCAAGAGTTTATCTTTGTGATCTTTAATATCACAGCAACACCACTTCTGTTCTTCCCAGACCGAGAAAACAGTTGAACAGTTAATTCAATTACAATGAATTAATTTGAAATCAAATTTTCAGAGTACTGTGTATTCTGAAAGATGTGCAGTAGCACAAACAGAAAATCATATGGACTACACAATTTATGTAACCATTCCACACTGCCACCTGCTGTGCCTCCAAAGCTTTTCAAACTACACAAAAATAGATAGAACCTAAGTCAGGCAAAAATCACGGTTGTATTGTATGTACATCAACGTGTTTCAGTTTTAAATGCTATTAGGCTATCAGAACTATAAATTCCTGGGTTTCACAGTTTTAAATGCTATTAGGCTATCAGATCTATAAATTCCTGGGTTTCAGGAATACCTTTAAAATGCATATTGTGGAACTAGCATTTGTACAGTTGTTCGTTCTATTTCTATTATTTATTTTCATGTTCAATCACCATTAAAGAATACGATGAAAAGCCACTGCGACCTTTCTGGCAATTACCTACAAGATCAAATGGAAAGTGATTAAGCATTTGACAACTTCACTGCCATAGTCTCAGCACGACAATTCTGTTATTCATTTTCAACACAAAAAATGCTGGCACTCATGATAATTTGTTTCCTCTTATGGGCAAGGCAAGCAAATTCAGTTAAAAAAAATCTTAAAATTTTAAAGTACAAAACGTATGCTAAATCAGATTAATACTGCTCACTTTAAGAGAAATTTAAATAAAATTGCAATGTTAAAACAATCTCGGTACATGCACCAATACATTAAAATAGGGAGCCATTCACTGCTGGAACTCTTTCAGAATTGATTCTTCCCTTCATTTAATTTTCTCTCAAAGCCTCATTGGGGTTGAGCAGGTGAACAAATCCTTCAATACCACTGACCTAGTTAGGAGTTGGAAGAGAGAAACACAGTCTTAGAATTTCTCTCACTCAAAGTCAGCGCCTCAAACCACCCCCAGATGAGATTAGAAACTGGGAAAGCCATCCCAGAGTTAACTAGGTTGGAGAAGAAAGCCACCAACATGCAGAAACCTCCTGTGGAGGCAAGTGGAAAACATGGCATTTGGTACGTTTCTAATATGAGATGTAATCTACCCTTTTATGTTCATTAGTTATACATCACATACCATGGGTAACAACAATAACGTGCATTTATATAGCACCCTCCATGCAGGATAGCGTCTCAGAGCGCTTAATAGTGGCGGAGCCTGACTCCGAGCTAGGGAGGTGGTCGAAGAGGAAGATTTTCAGGTGGGTCTTGAAAAAGGGGAGAAAGTGGGGCAAGATAGAGGGATTGAGGGAGAGTGTTCCAGAATTTTGGGGCTTACTGGCTGAAAGCGCGACTCTGATGGAGGGGTGGAGGGTGCAAAGGACGAGCAGGAGGCCGGTGCTAGTCAAGCAGAGGCACCAGGTGGTGGATTCGGGAGTGAGGAGGGTGGAGAGGTAGGGAGGTGCCAGGGAGTGAATGGATTTGAACATGAGTGTGAGGATCTTCAAGTCGATCCGTTCGGTGATGGGGAGCGAGTGGAGTCTGACCAGAACTGGTGAGATGTGGGTACGGAGTTTGGTCCGAATCAGTATGTGGGCGGCAGAGTTCTGAATGAGCTGGATCTTGTGAATGGTGGAGCTGGAGAGACCGGGGAGTAGTGTGTTGGAGTAATCCAAGCGGGAGGTGACAAACGCATGCACGAGGGTTTCACCTTCATTGGGATAAGGTACAGTCAGAGGCGGGCAATATGGGGGAGGTGGAAGAAGGAGGTCCTGGTCAGTGACTGGGTGTGGGGGAGGAAGGACAGCTGGAGATCGAACTGGACGCTTAGGTTGCGGACTGGTTCGGTGAGTCTGAGTGAGAGCCCAGGGAGGTTGAGGAGTTTAGATCCGCAGGAGTGAAGGAGTTGACTGGAGCCAAGGAGTATGGCTTCCGTCTTGTCCATATTCAGCTGCGGGAAGCTTACACTCATCCGGGCCCTGATATCTGACAGACAAGCTAATAAGGGTAAGAATGCAAGCCATCAATATCTCCTTGGAGGCAGGAGAAACTCAATCCAAACTTAGAGAGAAACAAAGGACGTAAACTAAACCACATGGCTCTTGAGAGGAAAGATTCAGGGTTAAGGATCGGATAAAAAATAATCATATAGCGTTTACTGGAGAAAAGTACTGAATTTGATTTACTTGTACCTTTGTCTCAACAACTGCTGACAGAATAATACAATCAGACCACTGGGGATTGGATAGCCACTGAAGATTAAGGAAAGTGCATCTTGTGTTGTGGTATTGAGTCGTGCATAACATTTGAAAACACAGAGGAATGAAGACTGGAATATTTTATGTTGAACATTTCCAGTAGAAATGAAGAAAACTGACACTCTTATGAACTCAAGACAGTGGCCTCATTATATCACATTTCTGTCTAACGCAGATTCAGTTATAACATGGTTAGACTGTAGACCCTCTTCACCTCGCATATGTGCAGCTGGCCTGCTTGCTTCCCACACATTAGCTGGCTCTTGCCCTAAAATGGTCGACTTCCCGGCGATTAGCTTGCCACCGACATCAATTTCTGTACGCTGTGTGTCTCTTCACAAAGCGTGATCCCTTTGGTCAAAGTGTAATCACTGCAAATAACTTTTCACTGTGAATTGATAGTTCTCTCTTTTTAAAACCACATTTGAAATTTCTAATATGATGAGATTAATTCATTTCTGGCACAAATCGTGCATGCTTCAAACAGCAGCTAATTGTGAGTTTGGAGGTTTTTTCACATATCCAGCTAAATTGTCACAGTCCTGCTCACAAAAGCCCATAGCAACCTGGAGACGTCATACTGATCAGACTGTGTGTGGGCATTAAGGTCAGACATCTCTGGAACACAATGAATAGTTGCATTGGTTCAATAGAAAAACATTTCCAAAGGCAAAATAACTAAACTGTATAATTTTGGTTATCAGAGCATTTTAGAAGCAAAAACACTGGTGTCTTTGACATCCCTGTTTAAAACGTGGGAATCCTCAAACATTTAAAAAATGTTGCAGACCTTTGTAAGTGCAAATCATGCATGTTTGATATGGAAGGAGTCTTTTTTTTTCTTTTTTGTCTGCCATTTAGTAACTCTGACCTCCACCCAAATAAGATTTTCCTTTTTTCATCTCATTGATTGCTATGAACTAAGAAAATAGTGGAGCAGACTCGATAAGGGAAATGGAAGTCGATCATTGTAGGCAAGAATCAGTGAGGGAAAAGGTCAGCTGCTATATCTTTTTTCTTTCTTTCTTGGTCTAAATTTATTACTTCCTAGGTTGCCAAGAAAAGTAATACAATATAGTTTACTCTTTTTTTGTTCTGACATCAGTCATTCCTTTCCGGTTTGTTTTGCTTCACAAATATTCTACTGTTCTTCTGTATACCGTTGTTGAACCTTCTAATAATAGGGAAGCCTGAAAATCCAGGGGAAATATGTTTCAATGTTACCATGAGTTTGATAATCTTCTTTAATACTCTGGCTTAGTTGATAGTTCTGTATAAACCCTCTGGGTCAGAACGTTGTAGGTTTGAACCTTACACCAAGACTTATAGTCAATGCTGACATTCCAACAACAACAACTTGCATTTACATAGCGCCCTTTTTGCAGGATAGCATCTCGGGAGTATTAATAATAATCATAATAATCCTTGCATTTGATATAGTACCTTATCACGTTTTCGGGTCATCTTAAAGACTTCATAGAATATACTGTAGAGTGCAATGACTGTATATTTTTGTGGGTGAAATGCGGCAGCCAATTGCACATAGCAGTGCACCAGTTGTGGATTGAGTGACAAAATTATTATTTTTTTTTAACCCGCACCCTCCCCATCCCTTCAAATCTCCCTAAACACCTCCCGATATTTGCAAACTGAAAGCCCACAAACGGGTCGGTGGTTGGTAATACTAATGACACAAATAGGGAGTGTTGAACAATGGTGTAGCTTGACGTCAAGTTGGGGAGAAATTGGGGGTGACCGTAAACATGGTCAAAGAAAAAAGTCTTCAGTATGTAGATAGGCAAACAGAGGGCAAGGCAGAGGGATTGAGGCAGAGGTTCAGGGCATAGTAGCATTGTTGCATCAGATGAGATATTAAATTGAGGTTTGATTGACATTAATTGCTCTATTCAAAGAGCCGGCACAAACTCAATGGGCCGAATGGCCTCTTTTTGTGCTGTACAATTCTATGATTCTATGATTGTTTAGGTAGGTTGATTGTACTATTTCAAAGAAGATCAGGGAGTTTTGGTCAATATTCTTTTCTCATTTAAAATCTCCAATAAACAGATTAATTGATCCTTCATCTCACTGCTGTTTGCAGGATGTTATTGTCACAGATTAGTGGCTCTATTAGTCTACGTAACAATAGTCCCTGAATTTCTCAGTAACTCAATTTGCAAAGCACTTCAAGATAATCTGATAGGATAAAGTGCTATATAAATCGCAAATATCATTAATACAAGTACATCTAACATTTAACCATACAACCAAGCCTCAGTGTTGGAAAAGAAGGAAAGAGGGAATCCAGAATAGATTTGTATTAATTTCTAAAACCCAGCTTGACATCCAAAGGAAATGTTTGAAGATTTATTCACATACCTAAATTCTGAGGATCTACTTTCCTCTGTTCCCATTTTTGAGTATCGAGATAGGCTGCAGACAGGAGACATCTTTTTGTTACTGGAAAATAAATGAGTTTTTCAAAAGAATAAGTACTGCATTATGAATGTTTATTATATATTATATAAGTCTATTAATGATAAATAGGAATACAATTCTAGATTGTTTAATAAAATTTGGGATGTCCTCCCGACGTGAAAAGCGCTATATCAAATGCAAGGATTATTATTATTATTATTATTAAAATACTGTAGTGTTATTTCTGATGCAAAATAGAGAGGTATGACTTTTAGTACATGTGTCAAGACACCCAGCTGACCCCAAAAAAGTTAATACATGTGACTTTTCTTCACATCTTGAAACAAATAGCTGACAGATCTATTTAACTTACATGCACATCATTTATCAGTACCGAAAGATGCACTGCTATGATGTCACTGTGGGCTCACTCTCAACAAGCTCTTGAAATCTCATGCACTAGGTTGCATGAGTAACTACGAGCAACATTTATGTTGTATTCTGAATAAACTGTAGTATCTAAACTACTGATCCACATGGTCTCTCAGACAGGTCTTCTGGAAATTGTGAGAGGTGACTAAGGAGACATTTATTGGAATCTCGTTTTTCCAATGACAAAATGGCCAGCAGAGGTCTGCTATCTCCCAGAATAACAGTGATCTGACAATGTTGCTCGGCACTATTTAATTTGGCTAGGCATAGTTGACATCTGAGTAGTTTGGCTTTCAAATTAAAATGCTCACAATTTGTATAACGTGCTAGTAGGGCATCATAGGCCCTACAGATCAGAAGATTCCAGGTTCAAAGCCCAGTTAGCTGATCTTAGTCACTCCGGCAGTTGGGACTACTCCAGAGGCCAATGCTAAAGTGTCCTGTGATATCTTCCGCAGCTGAATAACCTACTAACTCCTATTATCGGCCCATTTCCAACCTCCCCTTTCTCTCCAAGGTCCTGGAAAGAGTTGTCGCCTCCCAACTGCGCTCTTTCCTTTCCACCCATTCTCTTTTCGAACCCCTTCAGTCAGGTTTCCGTGCTGCCCATAGCACAGAAACTGCCCTGGTCAAGGTCACCAATGATATCCTGACCATCTGTGACCAGGGCTCCCTCTGCCTCCTCGTCCTCCTCGACCTATCGGCAGCATTCGATACGGTCGACCACGCTATCCTACTCCACCGCTTGTCCTCCCACCTCAACCTTCAAGGCACTGTCCTTGAATGGTTTAGGTCGTACCTTTCTCACCGTCTTCACTTTCTCTCAACGAATGGCTTCTCCTCCACCCCCCGCACTGTCTCATGTGGTGTCCCTCAGGGCTCTGTCCTCGGTCCCCTCCTCTTCACCCTCTATATGCTCCCCCTTGGTGACATCATCCGCAGACATGGAGTTAACTTCCACATGTATGCGGATGACACCCAACTCTACCTTTCCTCCTCTACTCTCAACTCCACGACCACCGATGTCCTGACAGCTGCCTGTCCGACATCGAGTCCTGGACGAGAGACAACTTTCTTCAGCTCAACGTGCGAAAAACCGAGGCCCTCCTGATTGGCTCACGTCAGCGCCTCCGCACCTCAGGCGCTGACACCATCAGCATCCAAGGCTGCACTCTCCACCTCTCAAAGCCAGTCAGGAACCTCGGCGTTTTGTTCGACCCTGAGCTGTCCTTTCTCCCTCACATCCGCACCACAACTGGCACCGCCTTCCATCACCTCCGGAACATCGCCAGACTACGG